CTCTAAATCTTCCTCTCGCTTTCATCCACTCGCATTCATTTGCATTCTGTACCGCGCTCCGTATCCTCTGACTCGGACGTTTGTTTGGCAGGAGGTACCCGACGGGATGCTGTTAACACTGCAAAAAGTGTCCATCTTTACAAGCCTTCCTGTGTTAACATCTTAAAGCTGTTCCAAATGAGGTGATTATAACTCCATTTGTAACCAAGAGCTTTCTCCTGTGTGAGTCTCTCTCCTTTTTCTTTTTTTTTTAAGCAAAAAGTGCAGGTTTTATTTACAAACTGAGGATGGGGAAATAAGTGGGAATTAATAAGTGGAATTATATATATATATATATATATATATATATAGATATAGATAGATATAGATATAGATATAGATAGATATATATGTCTAAGATGCACGTTTGATCAAAAAAACTTGCACAGATGGACACTCTTTGCAGTGAGCGCTGTCTCCCTTCCTACACCAGAAGGGAGTAAAAACAAGCCTTTCCCTGGTCAATGAGTTCACTGGGGCGGACGTCTCCTTAGACAAGGCTGTGGGGGGGAGGTGTTGGATGAGGGGATTCAAAAGTCTTGCAACCAAAGAGAAAAGAGAAGGAGTGAAGGAGAGGGAGGGAAACCTGGCACCGAGGCAGCTCAGAGACCCGGGCATTAGAAACAGAGAGCAAGGGAAGGTCAGCCTGCCCACTCCCCCTTCCTCTTCTTCCTCCTACTACTGCATCAGCAGATGTACTGCACAAGCCCGTCATCAATACTGCCAGACCACAGCCACAGTGATAACAGGAAAGTCTGTGATGAAGCATTTACACGCTAGATTGTGTGTGTGCTTTTTATGTCAGCAGGCAGTGAAAGATGAGATTTTACATCTAAGATCAGCTATCAGCAGAGAGGCTTACGGGCATCGGCGAATGAACTGATGCTAACAAGGCTGTCCTCTGGCTTGAAAGCAGCTTTGTCCTTCTAAGAAGAGAAGCATCACCCTCATCATCATCATCATCATCATCATCACCATCACATTCTAAACTAAATCAGCATCTCCTGCAAATGGCGCTCGGTTTATATCTCCAAGCTGCTGTCCTGAAAGGAAGAAAAGTCATGTCGTGCATTAACCTAAAGTTAGGTAGGGCAATCAAAGATAGTTCATCAAGCTAAAGTTTGGCAGTGCAAATGTGTTATTTAATTCACCAAGTGTCCTTGAATGTGCATTTAGCTGGACTGTGATGGTGTAAAGTAGAGCTGCAATTAAGTTTAATATCTTTAGCCATTAATCAACCAAGAAAAATTGCCATCCTAAGTCCACCAGAATCCAAGCTGTCACATCTAAATTTACAGTCATATTTCACATTTTGAAGCCAGTACCAATAAAGACCTTTCTTTTTAGAGGAAAAATAAAGAAAATTTTGTAGTAGGACTTAACTTTTCAGAATTTTACATGGTTTTTACTTTTTTGGTGCAATTTTCTATCATATGATAAACTCAAACATTATATAATGATATACCGATGTCCTCCGTAAATGTTTGCTATTCACTCTCCTTACACTGTATGGGAGTTGTACTAAACAAAGACTGTATATAAAAGATGGTTGTGCTTTGGGGTTTGTGAAGGTGGTGATGTCACAATAGCTACAGCCATCTTTTATATTCTCTATGGTAACAGACAAAAACTGTATATAAAAGCAGTTTCATGGTGTGGAAAGTAAAGCAAGTCTAGATTCCTTCTAACAGCCAGTAGGTGGTGACTCCTCTGTTTTCAAAAGCAAGTCTCTGTACAGAAGTCTTACAGACAATGATCTTTGAGCTCCTGCCTGCTAGCTATCTTGTTTTGGGTCTCACATCTTAGTCTTACTAAATGCATCATGATTTTCATTTTGAAAATGATGCTCATTAATGAGTAACAAGGGGCTCTAAACTGTACTCAACATTCAGAGCAGGCCTACTTAACTCATACTCTCCAGCATCCATTAAAACTTATAAATTACCGCCTCAATTGTGCAGCGTATGCTTCTGAACAGTTGTGGAATACATTTAAAATAAATCCCAACGGAATCATACGATCAATCCCACTGCAACTTCCACAGAAACTGCATAGTCTAATTCGCCACCATTGTTTTTATTCCCTTGTATGTGATTTTATTTCTGTCATACGTACTGATTTGTGTGTCTGTGGATGAAATTGTCCACTTTTAAAGTCCACTTCTGGATGTTTGAAGGGTTTGTGTCACGCTGAATCATTTTGCCTACACGTGTCACACATGTCTGTCTTATTATCTTAATGCTAATGGCAACTGATCTCCTGTTTTTATGACATTAAAACTCCTTTTCTGCTACTCAACTCGGTTTTTAGGGGGTTCCATTAAGTGATAAAACCTGGTAGCAGGTACTTTATTTAATACCTACTCAGAAGGGGTTTCAGGTGTTCTGAGTCGAACATTTGACATCTACAGACTGCATGCCACTGATTGGCCAGTCTGTGGCATCACAGTGACAAGTCATAAGACCGTCTCCTTCACAAAAATTAAACTGGCCATTTAAGGTGCAGACACTTATTGGTTTAGCAGCAGGTATAGCATCGCCCTAATGTCCTCCATTGTTGTGTTTTTGAGTTACATACAAATGACAAGACAGGACTTTTGGCTAGATTGCTATAACGACCCCAAACACTTTAAAAAGGTACTCAATTGTAATGGAAAATGACCAAAAATGAGTGGAATAGAGTTCAATCGAGTAGAGCCGAGCAGTTATTATTGGAAAAGAGGCATAAGGGGTAAAACAAAGATCAACTGTCCCACTTGGATCCCTCTGGAGCTTTAGGCAACAAGAAAATACATCTTCTCAGCAAAGTAACAAAGTAGCTATCATAGACTGTATATCAGAGATGGACATTGGCACTGGTTTATGGAGTCACTGGAGCATCAACTTGAACATTTTTGTTGGTCTGTTTTGGTGTTTTCAAAGTGTACGTAGTGAGAAAAGGAAGGATTTAGGACCCTAAATTACAAACAACTACCAAAACTAAAAACTGAGACATTAAGATCATCAGGAAAAGGTTTAATAGTTTCTTAAAGACTTCTGTTCGACTCCTGAAGCATCACCACCTTCTGGCTGTTAGAAAGAGTGCAGGTTTACGGCACTTATACACTGGCTTTGATTTTTTAGATATCCCGTGTCTCCCTGTGCAGCATTAAATCAGATCAATGTGCTTGTTTGGCTGCGCTCTAAACACATATGCAGATGTTTGTAAAAGAGAGTGTTTGCTGTAGTAAAGTGCACCCGTTAGTGAAGGAGAAACCACATCAACCCAGACTGAGATCTTAAGGAATACAGCTCATGTCTGCTGAACAACTACAGATGTAGTCAACAACGAAATATGGAGAACAATAAATATCAGACACTTTTGGCTCGTCTTCACCCGTTAAACCGAATAAACACCAGCTCATGACCCTCTCAGATAATCTGCAGGTATCTGTTTATTGAGATTATGAATCAATCTACTGTTTGTTAAATAAAAATTCAAACAATGAAAAGTAAAAAAAAAACCAACAAAAAAAACCCACAAAAGAAATGATTTGTGTGGCATTGGGACACATTTTGGGGTGTTTTTTTTTGCTTAAAGAAAACAACTTTATTAACAGCAGATTAAGCTCTAATTAAGCAGCATTCCTCATTTTGCATGTGACACTTTAGGCTGCACCTGTTTTAAAAGTTTGGACGACTGAGCTGTAATCCTGCACTAAGAGCAAAACCAGACAAAAATACTGCCTTAATCGGCTTCATTTACGCCATCAAGGACCCTCAGCTCAGACGCCCCTCACTTTATCTGTGAGTTGAGCTCCTGTATCAGAAGTGTGTGTCAGTGCTGCTGCCTGTGTCAGATTGGGACATTTGATGATGATCGTGTTTTGACCCACTTTACCCAAACAACTCTAACTGTTGCGTGTCTTAAGTCCCCTTTGGAACCAACCATGCTTGTGATGCACACACACAAACACGGAGGGAGCATGCCTGGATATGTGCTGGTGTCCTGTTTTATGATTGGGTCACAGCAGTGATCTCATGTTTAGTGACTGGATCAGTGTTGATATCCCGTCCCTGCTGAGAACAACCCTCTTTAAGCCCTTGCTTTCGTCCCTTCCTGTGACACAGTGGGAACTGCGGGGCCCCATCTTCAACATGATGACAGTGGGTGGCCCTGCATCAAGAGTCTGTCAGTGCAGACGATTGCTCCAAGGGTATGAAATAAATGTCTTCTTCATCATAAAACCCCATGTGTTTTTCTTTTTTTTTCCTCCTTTTTTTATTTTTCCACTCTAGTTCACAGGAGCATCAGATGTTATTTACAGGCGAACCCACTTCTATTAAGTGAAAATCAGCAAGAAGGGAGAGAAAACCAGAGACATACACCAGGATTATGCAGTGACAGTGTGCAGAAAGGCAGCAAACCCTGCACAGTGGCTCTCATTTAGAGGAAACAGGGCTTCACATGTGGCTTTCTGGCTCAAGTTTGCTCCTTACTGTAATAAAAATGTCACATTTTTACATTTTCACTTCGGTTCACATTTATTTAGCTTTTCCTTGTGAGGTTTTCGAGTTGGGAGCACTGCGGTGACCAAGTGGGAAAGTGTTTTTAATGATTTATTTAATCAAACCACTAGTGGAGAGACTTGCTGTTCAGTTACGCGGTGCCAAATTACGCACAACAGCAAAGAGCCATATCACAACCGTCAGCTCGTCTTTAACTTCTCCTTCATGAGCTTTCAGGGCACAAAATAATGCGTTTGTAAGAGTGTGAGCCGCTGCTGCTACTGCTGCTGGTGGTGGTGGGGCTGATCTGAACTACTAACCAAGTCTTAGAGAGATCAAAATTCAATCCCGTTCTGAGAAAAAACAGAAATGACGTTATTTGAATATGTGCCCAAAATCCTTAATGAATAACTTAGGACGAGTAGGAGGCAAATGCTGCCCCAGCTGTTTCCTGTTGAAAATGTCTGTGTAATGTAGATAAATGTGAGGGATTTTCTCTCTAAATCCGTCTCCTGTTCGCTAAATCTCACTTCTCCAAAACGAGCCTGCGCAATGGAACAAAGTCGGAATATTGAGATGTGACATTGCCCGCATCTCATCCTCTTTCTCCCTGTTTTTAATGACTTTAAACAAGTTCATTTTCGTCGGGCTTTGTCTTGTGGAGACCCGTGGGGATGTCTAGCGCTTTTTCCTTTCAGTGGCATTTATGTGATGTCTTCAAGGTAACTTACCTGATTTCCTTTGACACTATACATTATCACCTTGATTCTTCACTTGCTCACTATTTGCACAGAGCATCTTCGCCTACTTTAAAAAGAAACAATAAAAGGGGATTCTTATCGCTTGCTTGTATTTCACAGCTTTTGAACGCATGCATTGGTGCGGATTTATTCACATTTTTCTCCTTTTCATCCACTTATGGAACAACTCTCCCGCATGTCCTGGTAATCTATTTTATTTTATTTTTTTCCAGAGATAATTATATTTTCTACATTTTGCTTTGATTCTTTTTTCTTTTCTTTTCTTTTCTTTTTTTTTGCAATCAAAAAATCATTGACATGGATCGTGCATGACTTTCAGCGCAGGTATGAATTTGGACATTTTCCGTGCGCCCGGCGCTTTTTTCCACCAGAAAGCCCTAATGCAGCTGTGCAACTTTCAAAGTAATTACTGCTGAGTCTGCATAATTTACGTGGTAAATATCTAACCTGATGCCTCTGCGGGGTTGAAAGACAGAGAGCGGGAGAAAGGAGAGATTATCAAGAAACACTTGCGGGCGTCGGGACTTTGCGGTTGTGATGTAGATGGATAACGTTCCGTGTTTATTCTCTTTATTATGTACATTTGGCCCAGTCAGCTTCCTCCGCGGGCTTTGGCGGGAGAGCCTTTTTCCATCTCACATTTTGGATCGGAAAGATCTCTTGGCAGCTCATTTATTCTCCTTTCTGAGTGTCGAAGCACTTTTGCGCCTAATAATGCGCTGACAGCTAGGCTTTGGCACATTTTAAATGTTAAACTGGTTGTTAATGATAGATAGCCTGCATTTAATTAATGTGATTAATGCAGATTGTTGTTAACTTGCTAAGACCCACTACACAGAAGCCGGGCGGATGGACGAGAAGGAGAGGAGGGGGGTATAGTGTGTTTTCAATTTGGACGCGCTCCGCTCGGTTACGCACAGGCGCTCCGGAGCATCAGAGCTGCTCAGCCTCCTGTTTGACTGACTCTGGCACCGAGTGCGAGTCTGGATTTAATACATTTTCCTCCACATCTCCAAACTCCTGTAAAGTTACCATCTGTTTCTTTCCCCTTTTTAGCAGATGGAACATCCTGGATGCCCAACTTTAAGCTGGCTGCCTTTTTTTTTTCAACCCTGTGTTTGACAGTGCAAGTGTAATACTGCCACTTACTGACGTGCCTTTGAGCAAGACACTGTGCAACAAACTGTCACAGCAGATGCGCTAAATGGAGAAGAGTGCATGAAGCTTTGAGTTGTGGTTAAAAGAAACTCTTTTTCCGATGATGCTGTGAAAATGTTCTTGCTCTCTCCCTGTGCGCAGAGTGCGATGTGCTGTATCTCCTGTAGCCACACCCTCTCACTACTGCTGTGCGTCCTCACCCTGACTCCGACGGCAACAGGGGCGGGCCCTGAGACCCTGTGCGGGGCGGAGCTGGTCGACACGCTGCAGTTTGTCTGTGGAGAGCGAGGCTTTTATTTCAGTAAGTGCACCTTTTTATTTATTCATAAAGGTTGGCTGTATATGTCCCAGAGCTCTCCACCTCCTGCGAGCTCATAAATAAAAGAACAGCCAGTTTGACATCTCGTCTTGGCTTTCCCTTAATGTTTTTTTTTTTTTTACTTCATTCATTCCTCATCCACTCTTACATCTTATATTTAAATTCCCTGTACATTTGTTTTAATGCTACTCTCATCACCGAGGTCAAATTCTGAATGAGAAAAGTTAGATGAAATATGGAATAATGATAAGTAACTCTTATTGGTGGCAAATCGCAGCTGTGACCAGAGGGAAAGGGCTTTAAGTGGAATTTGGCTATCTCCAAGAAAAAGGAGGGGTAGAAAGTAAATGTTGCAGTGAAGTTTTTTCTTTTTTCCACCAGAGAAGGGAGAGCCACCCAAAGAAAACCCTCGACCAAGAAACCAGGATTTAAATCTCCAATTTTTCCATTAAGGGTACAACCTAGCCCAGAGCAGCACAGGATATATGGAGCTATGAAGGTTAGGTGCAATGTTCCACCGGCAGCCAGAGTTTCTCAGGACATGTATCCTGCTTTGTCTGTCAGAGAGGAGCAGCACGACTGTACATTAACAGTATAGTTGGCTCCCACAGAGCTGAAGGTTAGAAGCTTATTATTCACTTTTCTCTGGCTGGCATCCATCAATTAAGCCAGTTTCAGCAAATGTCCTCAACGAGCATCACATCTCCACCAACAGTCATTTCTTATTCATAAAATTATTAGTTCTCCCTCTGACTCCTGTGCAGTTTTGTCATAACAATCCATTTTAAATGGTTTGGTTTGGTCCCAAAGTTATGAAAGATTTTCCACATGTGGTAGACTTTGTCAGCTGCCAGTTCGAAAAACAGAAGAAGAAGATATAAGATTTCTCTTGGAGATCAGCAGCATCTATAATGCATTTGCAGTTCTTCTCTTTTCCAGTAATTGATTTCTTTCACCTTCGCTTGAACCTGAATAGTTTGAAAATATACCTTTTCTATCGTGTAGGACAATTAGAGGCCAGAAGAAGGTGGGGGGAGGGCAGTAGTGGTCTAAAGCCATGCTCAGGTTCTGCAGTTAGTAAGAACATAACATAACGTATACAAGTGGACTGATTGATTCTTATATAGTGCTTTTCTACTCTTTCGGAGTACTCAAAAGGCTCTATACAACATGCCACATTCACCCAATCACACCCATTCCACAAGAACCTTCTCTATTCATAGTGCTTTCTAACTACATTCACACACATGCATACTCCGATGGATGCATTGGAGAGCAACTTGGGGTTAGTATCTTGCCCAAGGACACTTGGCATGCAAACTAGAGGAGCCAGGGACCAAACCACCAACCTTCCGATCAGTAGGTGACCTGCTCTTCCTGAGCTACAGCCAACCCTCTAAAGGTTCTTATTGTTGAAGGGTTATTTCCATCTGCAGATCTCTGCATGTGGTGGCATGGCTCTGTTCTGGGACCTTTCCACCTTTCAATATACATGGAAAGGTGTGCCATGGATGGAAGTGGGTTCTAAAGTGGCGTGCAGATGTATATAGATGTGTATGGCAACTGGGGACAGACTAATAGATGGGATATGCTTTAGGCTCGAGTCCATTTGTGTCATGTGATGCGAGTATGAGGCTCTGAGGAGGCGTCTGTGTGCCTGGTAATTTACACGAACACAAAGATTTTACATTACCCTGCACCAACTACACTTGCGCCCTTCAGTCGGACTACAGAGACATAACAAGAACCATTGCTTGGCCGTGGTGTCTCTTCAGCTATCTGTCGCTGTATCAGAATATAATAGACTCTTCATGCAGCTTAAATATAAGAGTTGGTCAACTGGATTTGTACAAGTTCATCAGTTCAGCTATCAACTGTTCTCGTTTGGCACTGAGAATCATCCGAACTGTGCTTTGATGGGACTAGCTACACCTGTCATGAAAAACGTCTGACACTGCATACAAAGTGCATTATGCAGGAAAGTGTTTACAGAACTCAAGTCAGAAGGTAATTTCCCCAAAGACTTCTATAGGACCAGAAGTCTTTTTCAAACTACAGCTATCACCCTCTAGTGGCCTGGAAAAAAATGCAGGTTTAAAGCACTTCCATGTTGGCTTCTCTTTTAAAAGCCAGAAGCTACTCTCAGATCAATTTCCTGCTTTCTACCAGCTTGTTTATGTATGACTTTGTTTCGGAGAGATTGGAAATTAAATGGGCACAATACAGTTCACACATCACTGTAAAATCTCTCTCTTACCCCTTCTCTAACCTTAACAAAGGGTCTGAGTTGCATAACCTAAACCATGTTTCTGGCTGTTATGCTAAGAGATTCTACAAATTAAATCATTTTAATTCTTTGGAATTCGGTCTTCTGAATGTAAATAGATTTCTTTACAGATAGCAGTGTCAGCATGCACCTTGCTGCTCCTCTCCCCGAATCCTGCTCCTTGCAGCTTTTCCAGGACCAGTCCACATCATTCTCTGCGTCAGGGCCTCTGTATGGCATTTGCCAGAAAGTTTTTTGGAGAGCCACCAAGCTACTGCAAAGCTGCGAGCCGTGTTCGTCCAGATGCTCCTGGAAATACCCACATGCTGTGAAGTGGTCTTGACAGCCAGTCCGATTGCCAGTATTCTGCCTGTTAAGACTTTTTGGTCTTTGGATTCCCTCGGCTTCAGCGTCTTCTTCTTTAAATTATCAAACATAACATTTTAATAAGTGCAGGCCTTGGATTCTGAGTAAACAGGTTTGAACTTTGGCATCTTTTTTTCCTTAGCAGTCTTTTTTTTTTTTAAACCCCAACTCTGAACATTTCATTTCTCCGATTTTGAAATGGTCCCGTGACCTGTCTGCAGCTGTAGCTTAAAAGTTTTTGATATGTTTAGGATTTTGACAAGGTATGAGAGTGTTCAGAGCCGGGTGATGTGAGAATGTGACAAAGGGTTGGATACTGATACCGGAGTTTAACTGCAGTTTATTAAATGGGAAAGTGTTGAACAGAAGCCAATGCAACTCATGAATCCTCATGTAGAATATACTTCTTAAACAGGAACAGACCTTTTTGTGGTGGTTGGTGGAACGTATTTGTCTTTCCCACATTACCTTACACTGAGCTGTCAGTGGACTACACAGCATCCATCTATCAATGCTACTTTTTCCTGTTAAAAAGAGGCGTATTTCATGAACACTCCATCCATTCTCTGAAAAAGATGACGAGGTTTGAGCAGCAGGGTGCTGTGCCTTGGAAAATATGCTTCTCGCCGTCGTCCTCGGTTTCTCTCGCTCTCTCATATTCTCGCTGTCATCCCTTTTCCTTTGCTTCTAGTCAGTAAAATATCTGGAGAATCCATTTGGGCTCTGTCGTCCATAGGACGCGGCAGAGTAACGGCTTGGCCAAAGGAAGCGTGATCCTTTCCCTGAACTCTTCCCCTCCAGTCTGGCCGTGTTGAACTTGGCAGCCCTCTGATTGATAATGTGTGCAGAGACAGTGTTGCAACAACAGCGGGCTTTATGTGCTCACAGTGCTTTTTGCCATGCCACCAGTAAAGTGAAGCACACTTGTATTTCACAACTGCAGATTTCCTACCCTGACAGAAAACATTAGTTGGTGGAAATTCATTTTTTTAAAGGGTAATTAAACAAACTGCGGTCAATGAAACAGAGAAAAAAAAACCTGCAGTCAGTTTTTCCAATTATTAGCCCGACCTAAAAAAATCCTTAGTTGTCTTTGTAATGCTTTAGCAGGCAGGACTGCGGGGTGATTTCACTGGGATGTTCATTCCATGAATCAGATCTGTTATGGGATGTTTTTTGGCTGAAGTGTGAGTGCTAAGTAGCTCCGCGCTCTAAGTCACTTTTAGTTCATGCTGAAATATTCAGCTGTTTTAGAGTGAGCACGAGATATTTAATCTTACTCTGTAAGACTTCTGCATAGTGTCTGCAAAGAAGATGAAATAATCCATCCTTTTTTCAGCCAAAAGCTCATCGTCGCTACACAAATACCCAATAAGAAGGCAACCAAATATAAAATGCAGTGTGCTCAGGTGAGTTGAAGGTGGAAAGGAGAGTGGAGGATGAGATATGACTTCCTTTTCAGTGTCTGTCCCTGCCAGTTTTATTCAGAGCCACTTGAGCTGGAGAAAGAGGGAGAATGTGTAAACAGCACGTCACATGCACGCACTTAGACTCACGCATGGTGAGGCCTGGTCCCTCAGCAGCAGGGGATTATGTGGATTACAGGATGATCAGGACACCCTCCACCATCCCCTCCCGCCATAGTTTTGCACTGGACCTGGGCACACAGCGGAAGGCACCAAGGCCCGAAGAAAGCCCTCCTGTGTCTTCTCCATCGCTATGAAAAGGTGTCGATTTCCCATGAAGACCTGAAACTAAACATCTCTGACCCCCGCTGCGAAATACTGGAACAAAGAGGCTTCTCATGAAAAGGACAGGCAGGCGTCGTCCAGATTTAAATCTGTACATTAGGTGAAGTTGAGACTCGAGGGATTTGAGGACACTAAAAAATACTTAACCTTTTCATTCATTCACATTATGCAGGCCTTCTACAAAGAAAACAGGGGAACATTAGTTAGATTTATAGATATCTTCTTCATGGCGTTCTTTTGTCTTTATAGATCTCATAAAATGGCTTGGTTTCGCTTGTTAGGTGTAACCAAAGACTCATGCACAGCAGTGATCACATTACATTTGTCTGTAATGCAGAAATGTAGCCTTCCTAAATTCGTTAACTATTCAAATACTCAAGGCTATAATAAATAATGACATTTATCTCCACGATAAGCAGAAGAAATACATGATCAAACACAGGCATTAACCGCAGACAATCTAAAAGATGGATGCAGCTTCCAGGCAAAGTTCTTTCCCCTGCGATCTTTTTTAATGGCCACCAACTGGTGATAAAGACTTCCAGTGTCGAGGCTTTGCAGACACATGACCACTAACCATGTAATGATAACTTAACTTGTCTCCCAACTACCGATCATGAGAAAAAATTACGTTACATTTGTAAATTCCAAAAGTTGTTGCAAAACTTTTTCAAGAACACATACCCTGAAAAATCCATCTTTAAATATTCATAATGCATTTGGATAAGGTTCAAATTCTCACAAGCCGTAAAACATGGTACCAATGATAAAGGGATAGTTTCTAGTACTTAAAGCAGCTTTTCTAGTCCCTGCCGAGCCGTAAACTCCCTGACACTTCGCAGGAGGAGCAGTGCACTGGCTCCAAGAATCCACTGCTTTTTATTGACCATGACCAAGCTGTAAAACTCAGATGCTTTCTGTGCCACTCTGGAATGGGGAAATCGAGCCATCTCTCTCCGGTGTTGTTCCTTGGAGGAATGAGCACTATGCATGCTGAGCCTGTCAAATACCAAACCAAAGATGTTTCAGGGAACCGTGCGGTGACATCAGATGAAAGACTTTACGAAAAACTAACATAGATTGTGGCTAGTCAAAACTATAGCATAGCTTCTGTTAAGAAGGATGCTGTCAGAGTGACATCCAAGGTGAAGAAGTACTCCACCCCAAAGACCAATTTGTGGTTTTTGTGCAGCCAGCTGTAGACTTAAACTTCAAACAGTGCTTCTATACATATTTAACCGGGGTCAAGTCTACGCAGACGCGTTCCACACATGCTCACTAGAAATCGTGTGGACCTCCTGATGGAGGAAGAAGAGCTGCTTAGTTTGCTGTGTTTGGCTGAACAACAGGAAAAAGTCAAAAAGAGAAAACAGTGTGTGCAAATTCAAAACAAGAACAAGATCAAGGTTGTGCAAGACATCACTAAACTACACATGGCGTATGAAACAAGCTTTCAGTTGACTTTTAATTGGTGTGACTGCAGTGGTGCTAGTCCACACGGCTTCAGATTTTGGGTTGAGTGCTAATGTGCATATCAGTGATACAATGAGACAAAAGTTATGATTTGGCCTTTAAAAAGCACTTAAAAGAAGGTTCTGTAAATGTCTAAGTGGCTAATTCGTAGTGGACAAAGACTGTGGTTGTTTTCAGTTTACAACCGGTAGAACTTATTCCAAAGTTAACACACTTATGGACAAAGGAAAATACCTCAGAACACATCAAAATGTTCATAAAACTTCTGAAAAGAATAGCTTTTTCAATGTCCAGGGTTTCTCAGAGATGTGTGTGTTAGTTGTGGTTCCTTGACTCACCGGTTGTGCGACATGCATGGCTATCCAGTGTATCAGGCCCTCCTAAATAAACCTCTGGCTTTTTTCTCTTTATTTTCTCGAATTCACCACCAAGTACGGTATGTGCTGCTCTGGTTAGAAATATTTGTACAGGCTGGCATCATCTGCAAAGAAGTAAGTCGTTAAAGGTCCTTCCTAAAGACAGTTGGTATTTAATAATCAAAAGAAACGTTCTTTCTTTAAGTTTTCCTTCAGACTGACTTTTGCAAAATCGGCAAAACCTTTTTTTGCATCTTCTTTATTTACCCTTATTTAACAGTCACAGAAAACAATTCTTTGTTGATGGGGGATTACAGCAGTTATCCAAAGCTTTTAGACCTGATTATTATATGCGTGTTTTCCCCTAACCTGCCTGAGCTGATTATCCTACATGTTACAACCGGCACCAGCTGATTACCCTGTCCCTTCCAGCTGTTTGTGCAGCAGGGTGGCAAACTATTTTCAGAATAATAGCGGATGTTAATTTGTAAGGCTTTATTGGGGGTGGGGG